GGACAAATATTTTTTGGGACCTGAATGCACGAATGGGGCGAGCACGCAATTTTTCAAAAAACATATTATTTGGGATTACGGCTGGGGCAGAGAAGCAGTACATGCAGTAGAAACTCCAAACCGCGTTTTGCTAATCGAATTCTGCGACGGCCTCGATTTGAAGATTTCGCCCTCGTTCTTCAACCGGCAACTTGAGGAGAAGATCGCCTTCATCGAGCCTGGCGCGAATTTCATCGCGGAGATCACGGAGAGCCAGTACAACATATTGGTCATGCTTCTTTGCGATGCTGCCATATTATAGCAAATACAAGATATGAAGAGCCATCGACAAATACCATTGGGTACAGACCATTGCCTTGTTACCTGCACCCATGGCATGCAAGTTGGAAGCACCGCACGAACACCAACACGCAGGAAGACGCACGCGAAGCTCTCCGGGACCACGGGCTTTCGGAACTGGCGCCCGGCGGCCTGATGGCCCTTGTGGGGTGCCCAGGCGGTTTTTTCTTGAGATAGCCACGAAAATGTTATTTTTTTCTGCGTCTCTTCTTCTTCCTTCCTTTCGTCTCTGTTCTTCTTCGTTCCCGTCCTTGTCTTTTCCTTTGTTTTTCTTCTCGTCTTCGTTCGTTCTCCTTTTCTTGTTCTCGTCTTCGTTTCTTGCTTGGCTCGTTGCCTGCTGCTGCCGTCTGTCGTCGTTCTTCTGCCTCCTTCCCTTCCTCTTTCCGCTTCCTCTGGCCGCCTGCGTGGAGCGCAGGGCGCGCGCGCTGCGCGGTCGCAGTGCACGTGGGCTGGTGCCCTTTTCCCCCCCTCTCCCCTCTTCTCCCTCCCTCTCTCTTTCTTCGCGTTGCTTCTCGTTGCTGTCTGCTTTCTCTGCTCTTGTTCTCTTCTTTCTTTCTTTCTTTCTCTCTCTCTCTCTCTCTCTTTTCCTGTCTTTCTCTTGCTCTTCTCTTCTCTTCTCTTTTTTCTCTTCCTTGCCCTCCTGCGACTTCCCCGCCGGCCTGCCGAGCAGGCTTCGGTGGCCCCGTAGGAGACAGGCTTTTTCCCACCCTGGATGCAACTTTTTATTTCGATGTGACTTGGTGAAGATAACTGCGCTGCAGAGGTCCGATAGAGAAAAAACAAAAAATGCAGACATATTTTTGAAAGTGTTGGAAGATTTCCCAACGACGTCAGGAACTGTAGAAAACCTACGGGAACAAGGGGTGCAAGTGGCTCAACCTGCTACCAATGTATTTCCACCAGCTTCAGCTGAAAAGAAAAGACCATGGATCAGCAAACGAACGTTTGATTTAATTGATGAGGGGAGCAAGGCACGACAAGTAAGCAACGCTCAAAAAGAGAAGCGTTTACTCAAACAAATACGACAATCATGCAAGCAAGACACATCATCTTGGATTAAAGGGCGCATCGCAAATGGGAAATGGGATGCCGTACGCGCTCATTGCCGAGCACACCCGCGCAAACAAGGACGCCTGCAAAACCTGGCGGGGGAATTGGTGGAGAGTTCCGGACGGGCAGACACGATGGCGGGATTCCTGGAAAAAGTGCGATGGAGAGTACGACCAGCATTATTATAACCGACGGACCGCTTGGGACCTACATTGCCAGTCTACGAAGCGGCATTCACACCGCAAGAGGTTGGAAAAGTTGTCAAAACAAACTCAAATGGAGCAAATCTGCTGGAGCGGACGGGATTCCTGCAGAATGCTGGAAGGCAGTGGCCCAAACTCCCGGCGGCATCGAATGGCTTAGGAAGTTATGCGACGCATGCTGGTCAGAGGAAGCTGTTCCCCACGCTTGGCGGCGCTCATTGGTAAGCACAATCTACAAAAACTAAGGGCCCGTGCACATCTGCGACAATTACAGACCAATCAGCTTACTTTGCGTGGCGTGCAAAATGGTGGCAAACTTACTTCTAAAACGATTGCACAATGCTGGTGCTGAAGACCGGCTCGATGCAACACAATTTGGCTTCTGCAGGGGGCGCGGCACGGCAAATGCAATACATATGGTACGAAGGCATGTAGAAGTATTAAACATAGGGCGAAATGGTGGCTCAACATTCGTCGCGCTGGATTGGAAGAAAGCCTTCGATTCAATTAGTGTGGATGCGATGCTCGCAGCTCTTGGAAGATTTGGTTTCCCCGCGCGCATTTTGGCAATTCTCAAAAACATATATACTAACAGGAAGTTCTGTCTCACAGATGGTGGGCATAATTCGAAAGATAGGCCGCAACATTCAGGCATCGCGCAGGAATGCCCCCTGTCACCGTTCTTGTTCGTGATGGTGATGACGGTGGTAATGTACGATGCGGTGGAACTCCTCGACGAACAATCAAAACTTTCGCTCAGAAGTGGTATTCTATGAATTCTGTTGTACGCAGACGATACTTTGATTTATGGCATAAATCAACGAGACGTCCAAAACTTGTTGAATGCGGTCGCCACCGCAGGGGGGGCAAGTTGGCGATAGGTTTCAAATTATGCACGTAAGCAACAATATGGAATTATCTACGCCTCGCGGGGAACAAATACATGCAAAAGACACTTTACCTTGGTGCTACAATCTACAATACTGGGCACATTTACGCAGCATTGAACAAACGACTGGGGCAGGCTTGGGGGGAATTCTGCAGGTATGCGAAAGTATGGAAGCACACCTCAATCAGCATCAAAAGGAAATTACAGATTTTCCAAGCGATGGTCACAAGCAAGGTCTTGTATTCCCTCAACTCGGCATGGTTCAACAAAGCCGAGAAACGACGATTGGACAGTTTCCAAGCAAAGTGCCTCAGGAAAATATCGAATATCCCCCATTCGTTCATATCCGAAGTATCAAACAAGATCGTTCTGGAGAGAAGCCAACAATTGCCTTACACATCGCAATTATTGCAACAACAACTTCAGCTATTTGGGAAGATTGGCCGGAGCCCTAATTCTCATGCGCTGCGTGCCGCAACGTTTCAACCTGATGGCCTCAAGCCAATTACGCTACTTTGCAAACGTGCGCGGGGGAGACCAAAAAAAGAATGGGCAGCAGGATTGTTATCACTTATTTCTCCTTGTTTCCCTAGTTCTGAAGCTTTAATGGACACTCTGCTAGACAACAAAAATGGGACGCGTTAGCAATCAAAGTTTCCAGGCCAATTGAATGCGGAGAAGACGAGTACCTATGATATGCAGTGCATGGCTTGTGCGTCTTGGCAGGACACAAATACATCATCATCTTCCTCCTCCGCCTCCTCCTCCTCCTTCGGCCTTCCCGGCGCGCATTTGGCGCGTCCAGGCCACTTGGGCACGCGTTTGGCGTGCAATCGTATGTTCATCATCTTCCTCCTTTTTCTTCCCTCCGTCCGCTCGGCGCGCATTTGGCGCGTCCAGGCCAGGTTGGCGCGCGTTTGGCATGTCGCTCTAGTTTTCCTTGCCCACGCGCTTTTGGCGTATGGCTGCTTCGTTCGTTCGAACAACAGAGCGGCTTCCTGCCGCGAATTTTTGCGCTATTCTATTATCGATGCATACGTCGGTTTTTGATGCGCTGGGCTGGAATTGTCTACCGGACCGCTAACGCATGTAACCCCGCAGCTGCATTTATGAAACCCTTCGGAGAAACCGTGAAATCCTGGCATTCGGATGCCGAATGCCACCAAATGCCGCCCAAATTCGCCCCCCCATCCAACATTCGGAGGTTTCGCCTGGAGCAACGTGACCAAGCTTGTTCTGTTGAAAACTCCCACTGGTCACGCGCCTGAAATTTAATTAAGAACCAACAAAGTGCACCAATGTGTCTGCTATGGTCTTGTACGCTGGAATGTGCCCGCGTGGGGGCGGTGGACTTTCAGTTTCTTGTGATGGACGCCGCCAAGGAAACGTCCTTGCGGAAATGTGAGCGGCGGGTATGTTACACTTGTTCTCGATCGCGCCAGGAATAGATGGCTTTGCAAGCGGGCAGCGGCGGAAAAACGAGCCGGAAAATTCGGCCAAGCGGTCTGGATAGAAATCCCAAGCCGTTTTCTGATGTTCGGTCGTCTTCATGGTCTTGTCTCCGTCTCCTCCGACCCTGGGTAGATGTGATTGTCGCACCAAATTCTAAACTCCGGATAAGTATCAGGTCTTGCAACTTTTCCGACAACGGCATGCCACGCTGCACCGCCGATGGCGTTGGATTTCGTCCGTCCCCCTCGTGCTCCCCGTCATCCCGCTCCTCCATCTGTTCTTGGTTCCAACGTGATCGCTGTGGTTTTTGGGTTGTTCTGATCCGGGATAACAAGGATTCTAGCATCTGGGACATTTGTTCGTGCATGCTTCGGGGACCTTGACGAACCCTCTGGGCTTGCCGGTGAACCCCTTGCCCTTGGCGTGGTGGGCAACTGACTCTTTAACACGTGGGGTGTTACTGAAACCCGCGTTCTGTTAACGAAATCCGCCACATGCTACCGAAACCCACCCTGCCCCTGCATATCATCGCCCATCCCAAGTGTCTGCGCTGCTATCAGTGCTTCGGTGGAGTGGCGTTGCATTGAGCGTACTCATCGCTTGTGCAGGAGCGGATGCCTGACATGGAATGGGGGGGGGTGCTGGAAAAGACAATGGATCGGAGGCAAAACGGACGCCGCGCTCGTAGTTGGAGCTGTTGGAACCAGACTCGGAGGAGGCGGAAGTATAGATGCGGCCACGCGCTACAACCACAACTCCTCTCCAAAATGGCCCACGCGAACTTCCGTGCGTCTCGTCCCGTGCGCCATCGTCGGGCGAGAAACATGGGTTTAGGTCGAACAGGTCCTCCTAGAGGCGGATTGTTAAGAAAATGAAACATAGCCAACAAATGAGCAACAATTGTCAAAAGAGCGCGGATCATCGTCGCCAGACTATCTTTGTACTATCCTTGAATATTCCTCCTGTTGAGGGACATGCCCCACTAAAACACGAGTGGATAGCAATGCAAACGAGGTCGGATAAGCATGGGCACGGGATGAACATGGAAACTTTCCATCTGCGTGTGCCCAGGAGGACGAAGCGGGAGACGGGCATCCAGTCACCCGGCTAAGAGCTCCCAAGCCGAGCAAGTCGATAGCTTTGGCTATCTGGTCCTGCACGGGCCCCAGATTTCAATCTCCTCCAACGCGAAGCCCTGCAATAGGCATCAAGCGCGAAGTGGCACCTGATAGTCACGAGCCCCTGGCTCACGGAACTGATGGAATCAGGTTGGGTTTGGGAACGCGGGTAGGGTGCCAGTCTGAAACTGAAGCTGGAGCCAGTATTGGAAACCTCCCCAATGAAAATCTCGTGTAGCGGTGACTACCGGTACGGCCATGCTGCCGTGCCCATACAGAGCGCGTGCTTTGCGACAATGAAGCTCTGATGTGACAGCAGTGCGAGCACAACTGCCTCTTACGACATCTGACTCCTGGCGTGCGCTCTGACCAAGAGTTCGAGGCGAACCCAGCGGTGGCGACGAGGGCCGCCCAGGAGGCCCCATAGAGGGGAACACGAGGCAAAGGTAGCGGTGAACATCGCTGTAGATTTAGGTCGGGCGTGTCTCCCTGCAGGCGGTTTTTGGATGAGAACACGGCAATACCGCCAACATGCTCAAACATATTTAAAACAAAATTGTAGGAAAATAGTGCCCAGAGTATTTGTTGTTGGATGTTCCCCCCTCTGTAGAAGGACAAGCCCGACTTCACTGTAGATTGCCCGTGCGGCGGCATGCGTGCCCCCCTCCGCTTCCCTCCTCCGCCGGCAGCCTCCGGCGCCGCCGCCACGCCCACCGCGGGAGGCCGAGCAGCAGGGCCCCACAGCCAGAGGCGCGGGCGCGGGGCGCGCGCGGCCGCGGCGGCGGCGCGAAGCGGGCTCAGTCCACCCGCTCGAACCCCCCGACCTGCGCGAGGCGATCGGGGATCGAGGAAGATCGAGGCCGCCCGGCGCTTTCGGCCCTTCCCTGGCCTCTGGAGGCATCCAGGGACCCTCGGACGCCTGTGGGAGCCTCTGGAGGACAGCACTGGCCCGTGGTGAGATGCCGCGACGAATTCTGTACATATCCACTGCTCCCTGGCCGGGCCCATACTGAACCCAGCAGCAGTGCATACGACACGCCCTCGTGGCTTGGCAAGGAGGGCGTATACTCAGCTCCTGGGTTCAGGATGGGCCTGGCCAGGGAGCAGTGGACATGTAGAGATCTCGTCGCCCGATGAGATAGAAGAGGGAAAGCGGTGGAGAAGGATACGTACACTATCAGAGCGGCAGAGAAGCAGAGCATATCATCAACCTTCGGGGGTTCGCGAGGATTTGCTGGGTCTGCGCTGGACCCCCGAAAGTTAGTGATCATGGTGGGCGCGCCAGGGGGCAGCCAGCGTCGTCCCAAGAGATTTGCGCGGCCATCCAGAAGTGCATGGTTGTGTCGTTTTGGGTCATTCGAGATGATGAGATTAGCATTGGCGGCGGGCGAGGGGGGAAATGAAAGGTAGAAGGCCTTCTCAGAAGGCGGCGGGACTTCTCAGAAGCCCTCGCGCCTTCTGAGAATTTTTCAGTCTTCGGGGAAGGCTTAGACAACGTCTCAGAAGGCCCAGGGACTTCCGAGCCTTCTGAGAAGGCCCACCCCTTCTCACTTTCCCCCCTCGCTCGCCGCCGATACAAGACAATCGAACGTCCATGTCGGCAAAAGCGAAGAAGCGGCAAGCCGAGGCGCAGCGACGGACGGTTACGGATGTGGCATGAAGGAAGGGGAAGCCCTCGAGGAAGGGGGTCCCCTGAGGCCCTCTATGGGCCATCTTCATAAAACATGTGATTGTATCTTCGGGGAGCCTTCTCTGTCCCGTCGCGCTGCGATTCGCGTCGAAGATGTGTCGACCATGTGTCAAGTACGTCGGATCATCCGCATCGAGAGTCCGCATCGAGCCCCCGTTGAGAACTAGAAAAGACACGACTTCAGGGGACAGACGAGGTCCCCCGACCATACATCGTTCGAGCACGAGATCGACTACCCCAATATGGATCTTCAGTGAACCTGAGAAGAATCCGCCGACCCTGTCGGCGTGCGTGAAGGGCTTGTTCATTCGAGTCGTCGTCTCCGTCATGCGTTAGTCGTCGTCTCTGTCGTCTCCTTTCCCTGCGGCCCTCATTTCCCTGGGCCCGTCGCCGCTCCCCCACCTTTTCCTGGGCCCTCCTCCTCAAGCGCACCAGCCAAAGTGAAATTGAGCAACGTCGTAATTCAGTCAAAGGAAAGCCCCTTCCCTTCGATCCCTCCCCCGTCGGGGGGGCGGGATCCCGGGGGTGTGGTCCCAAGGGGGGTCCCGGGCGGGGTCCGGGGAAGGGTCGCCGCCTCGATGCGACTCCCCGCTGTGGGGTCCTGGGTCCCAAACAAGCCCCAGGACGGGCCAGGAGTGCCCGAAGATGCCCCCAGGACGGTCAAAGAGGGCTCCGAATCGCCGAACGTTCCCAACCTGCAAGACGCCCCAATAGGCCCCCAGGAGCACCCCCAAGAATGCCCCAACAAGCAACATTCACACATTTTCCTTTGGCTTTTTTTGTTTAATTTTTTTTGGCGTTCTCGCCTCTCCCGCTTCCCGACACACCAAGACGGCCCAAGAGGTCTCAAGATCGCCCCAAGACGGCCCAAAGTCCTCCAAGAAGTTACCAACATGGCCTACGAGGGCCCCTGAGACGGCCCGAGACGCATCTCGAACCCTCGCCCCTGGGAAGCTCCCAAGAAGCCCCTGGAGACCCCCGAGCGGCTCCCGAGAGGCCCCCCAAGAGTCTCCCCAAACGCCGCCAAGCTACCAACCAGAGGCCCCACCAAAGGCCCCAACCTTACCTCGACCTCTTCCTCCCATACTCCTCCTCCTCCTCCTCCTCCTCATCCTGCCCCTCCTCCTCCTCCTCCACCCCCTCCTCCGCGTCCTCCTTCTTCTCCTGCTTCTCCGACTCCCATTCTCCTCGTCCTCCCACTGCTCATTCCCCCCCCGTCCTCCCTTGCTCCCCCTGCTCCCCCTCCTCATCCTCCTCCGCTCTTCCTCCTCCTCCTGCTGCTCCACCGCGTCCTCTGCCTTATCCTCCTTCTCCTCCTCCCCCTCCTCCTCCTCCTCGGTTTCCTCGTCGTCGTCTTCAGGGTCGGCGGCCTTCACAATACGTACATTGTTGGTAGATCTACGAACATTATATATACATTTATGGATTGTAGATTCGGCGAAAATGCCAAGTTTGGGTACATCACTTTTGTAGTCGATCTCCTACTCAGATCGTAGCAACAGTTTAAGCCGAAGGATGAATAACTAGTCTTGGGTGAAGCACCCCGTTCTTTCGCGGCGGAGGACGTAGGGGCATCCCAGCTGAAGTACGTACTGTATGCTTCTACCTGCTTGACGGCGCGCGCGAGGGGTGGAGGGAGGGAGGAAGCCTTCGTAGAAAGAGGCTGCTTCTTAGAAGGCACTGGCCTTTACATCTATAGATAAGGCCCATGCCTCCTAAGATGCAGGGGTGCTTCTAAGAAGCCGTTCGTCCCTCCCCCCACCCCCTCTGCGCGTGGCTGAACTGCGCTTGACTGCTGTGACTGGAGGCGGAAATCCCACCATTCCATTCGAGCTCCTTCTAGCGTGGGAGACGACGCCCCCCTGGAGTTATCGCTGGGCCCTGGCCCTGCAGACGCCCAGCGGGGTAGGATGAAGACTCTCGAGATCTGACTCCCTGGAACAATTCCACGTTGAAAAAAACACATCAACCCGATCGACTATCCTTTTCTCCCTCGCTTCTCGAGCCGCGTCGATCCGTGCGGCAGAAACGCTGGTCGTGCATTTTCTCATACCAAAGCCCGCATGTGAGGCATCTTGAGCCAGTCGGCCCGGAAAGGGCCCCAGGAGGCCGAAAACAGGGAACATCCACGACCCCGTCCCTCAGCACCTCTCTTCGGCTACACGCGAGAGCGACCCTGGGTAAGAGTGACCTTTGGTGCGCGGCTCTTTGGGGGCCGCGGGGGACCAAACTCAGGCGCGCAAGACGCTACTATCGCATCGTAATCGGTGATCGGGGGACCCTATTGGGCCCGCACCAAAGGTCACTCCGGCGAAAGGTCACTCTTACGTGTAGTCGATCTCTGGCCATGCAAAACTCCGCGGCCGGCGGTGGGGTGGGGACCGGCTGCGGCAGGGCCACAGGCCCGTGCTCCGCGGTGCCGGCCAGCCCCTCCCCGTAGTCGGCGCGGACCGACAGGGTGCGGTCGTCGTCGTACGTCTGGTACCACCAGCCGTCGGGCACCACGACCGCATGGCCCATGGCTGGCGGCGCGCAGGCAGAGCGGGGCGGGGCGAAGGGACCGGCCCTCCGAGACGGCAGAAGGGCTCATCACAGGCCCTCCGAGCTTCTCGGAAGCCGTCCAAGAAGTCCCTCTGCCTTCTCAGAAGGCCCCCCCCTCCTCGGCCCACTCCCCTGCGCGCGCCGCCAGCATGGTCTGCTCGCACTCCCAGCAGACTCGGGGGCCAAAGCCGGCGGGGGCCCTGCCCGCGGTCACGGCCACGTCGTCCGGCCCGCGGGCAAAGGTGTCCACGGGCGAGGAGACGGCGGGCTCACCGCCGACGCAGCAGAGCAATGCGGGGGGCGTCTCGGGCGGGAAAAGCCTCCACTTCCGCCGGCCCAGCAGGGCGCAGTCCCACAGGCCGCCCGCGCCCCCGGGAGCTGCGCGCCGGAGCGGACTGCGAGCCCCGACGCCGCCGAGGCACAAGCGCCGCTCCGCTGGCCGCCCTGGCCCGTCGGCGCGGAGGCCGTGGAGCGGGCCACGGAGCTCGGCCAGCAGGTCGGTCTGTGCCAGCACCTGGCGGGGGATCGCGGGGGACCAGCAGCTTTCGAGTGTCAGTTCGGCCTCCTGTGGGGGGATCTCGTCGCCACGCGTCAGCTCGCCTCGAGATTCCAGTCGAAACGCGCGACAGGACGCACGGGGCAGGTCCGGGAGGCGAATTCGAGAGTTGAGACCTCGGAGCTTTCCAGCCAGTAGCTGGCCGAGTGCTCGCTCTGCGCCAGCAGCTGGCCAGCGAGATGCCGCAGCGGCCAGGTCTGCTGCTCGGGCACGGCCTCGGAGCTGCGCCGGAGCTCGCAGCACACCTTCACGTCACCCGCCTGGGAGGCCCGCCCCGCCCCGCCCCGCCTCGTCCGCCCCGCCTGCTTCGCCACGCCTCGGCCCGTCTGAGCGTCCGCCCCGCCTCGTCCGCCCCGCCTGCTCCCTCGACGCCCCTCCGCCCTGTCGGCTCTTGGGCCGGGCCCTCGCCCTGGCCCTCGCCCCCCAGGCCGCAGTCCGTGGACTTGAACGCACTGGTGTCCATGGACTCTGGCCAACGCGGCATCCGGAAACCGTCTCCCAGACCCCAGAGACTGTCCGAGAACAAGCTCGGGACGCGACGCCCGATCCTGCACAAGGGGGCGGGGAGGGGGACCCTCCCCCTCGCCTCCCTGAAGTTTCTTCGGAGGTTTCACGAGGTGTCGGAGGCTCCTTTTTCAGCCACTGGGAGGGCCAATTCTTGACACCCCTCACGAGGATCGTGGCCCCCGAGGGGGGGACGCACATCGAGGACCCCCCTCCTTTGACTGACCGCCTCCAAGATGGCCCCAAAAGGCCATCCAGGGCTCCCAAGAGGGTCCCACGAGCGGCCCAAGAGGCCTCAAGGGGGCTCCAAGAGGCCCCCGAGAGGCCCCTAAGAGGCCCCCGAGCGGCCTCAGACAGCCCAAGATGACCTCCAAGATGGCTCAAGATAGCCCAAGCTGGCTCAAGATGGCTCCCAAAATGCTCCAAGAGGCCCCAAGACCGCTCCAAGACCGCTCGAGCTGGCCACGGAACATCCTCGTCCTCCTTCTCCTCGTCTTGCTCCTCTTGCCTCCTCCCTCCTCCTCGCTGTTTGACTGTCCGTGTCTCTTCATCTCTCCCCCCGTCAACTCTCATGGGCATCGTATCTGGATGGGCTGGTGGGGATACGTGAAGCGTCAAGAATACAACTTCATCTCATTCTGCACAACACGGTCTGCCTGTCCCCTGCTCCTGCAGACAGCGACCGGTTCTGGTGGATCACGATGAGTCAGCACCGAATCTGGAAATCGGGTCGAGTCGGAACGCGAGTCGGATCGGCCTGCATCGGCACGGAGTCGAAATCGGATCGGATGGGCCGCGCCAGGAAGCACAACAACGCCATGCAAGCACCAAGCCGCATCGGATGATGGCAATATCGGAATCAAATCGGATTAAGTGGGCCGGAATCGACAACGAGTCGGATCGATCGGATGGAAAAAGACCCTGTGGTGGACTTCCCGTCGCCATCCGACCCCCTCGCCCTCCTCCTCTCCTCCCCAGCATGGCGCGGGTCATTGCGCACAGGTCATTGCGCACGCGGGCATCTGGCTCCCCCGACGGGCCACGCAGTGCTGCTTCCATTGCAGAGGTGAGGCGAGACTCGGACGTCGCCGAGTCACCGTGCAGTGGTAATAGAAGAAGAACAAGCGCCATCAACAAAGCATAAACTTTTGGCGCTCCGCGAGGATTTCTTGGATCCGCGCTGGACCCCCCTCCCTGGCGCGCGGAGCGCGCCAAGGGCGGCGCTGGAGGCGCCGCCAGGGGGGGCCCAGGCGCTGCACGGAGCGTCAGAAGTCTGTTCATATGGCGTTTTTCTCCTTCGAGAACCACCGTGCAGTGGTAATGAATGATCCACGGGCTCAACCGGTTGAAGGGCACAACAGCACAGAGCCGAGGCGCAGCGCGCTCTCGAGGGAACCCGTGCGGGCGGCCGGGTCCACAGGGGGGCGCCTCACCGTGCAGGCTGCTGAGGTCCGGGGAGCAAGAGGGGACAAGAGGGGGGGTGGGGCGTGCGAGGTGGGGATCAGAGACAGTGAGAGGGATAGTGGGACCGATCGTGAGATCGTGGTGAGGTCAATCGTGGGATCGACAGTGAGACCGATGGTGAGATCGACAGATCGATCGTGAGATCGATAGTGAGGACGATCGAGTGAGACGTTGGTTCCTCCCCCCCGAGCCTCCTCACAAGTATATCCATAGCCGCCGCCTGGGGAACCGGCGTCCTTGGAGCCCAGTGGGCCGTGGAGAATCGGAGACGAGGGGGTGAGATCGCCGTGAAACGGACAGCCCCCCCCCCCCCCACCGGGAGATCGGTTTCGGTTTCGCGTTCGTGTCTTGCGGGCGAGGCGAGGCGAAAATGCGTGGGCGGGCGAGAGGAATGAACCCTCCTCTGGCTAGGGCGCCGCTGGGCCAAAAGACCGCCCCTCCCCCCCGGTTGGCCGGTGGTGGCCGGGGGTGTCTCTCCGTGGTGTCCCGGTTGTGTCCCGTCGGTGCCCCGTAGTGAAATCGATAGTGGGATCGACAGTGAGACCAATTGTGAGATCGATAATGCCATCAATGGGAAGACCGATAGTGAGATCGATAATGAGATCGATAGGGATACCGATAGGGAGATTGATAGTGAGATCGATCGACAGATCAACCGAGTGAGATCGATAGTGAGATCGATGGTGATAACGATACTGAGATCGATGGTGAGATCGATAGGGAGATCGATAGTGGATCGATAGTGAGATCGACAGTGAGGTCGATCGTGAGATCGATAATGAGACCGATAGTGAGATCGATAGTGAAACTTCTAGTGAGATCGATAGTGCGATCGAGTGAGTGAGACGTTGGCTCCCCCCGAACATACTTATCACCCGAAGGGTGGTCGTATAGATATGGATACATTTCCCCCCCAGGGGGCCCGACTATATCCGTATCCACCGCCTGGCAAGGTCCCCGAAGATCGATTCCCCAGGCGGCGGATGTGGATAAATCCCTGCGGGCTCACGGCGCGAACGGCTGCAGTCGGAGCGGGGCGCAGAGACCGCGGCTCGCGGCAGGGAGGCAGCGCGTTCGCTGCCGCCCCCGTGGCCTGGTCCATCAGCCTCTGCATGAAGCCGAGCACCGCGAGGTTCGTGAACTCGGGAACGGCATCCACGAGCACCACAGGTCCGTCGCGCACCCTGGCGGCCACCTCGGGTGACCCCGCCCAGCAGCTGGGCAGCTCCTTGGCCTGGCATGACACGAGCCTCGACGAGGCCTCGTCGTAGGCCTGCGCCTCGCGGTGCACGTGCTGGTGGTAGCGGCGGTTCTCGAGGCCGCTCGAGAACCACTGAACCGCGCGGGAGACTGCGGTTCGCATGGGCGTCGGCCTCCACGGTCGCAGAAGCCGCAACGCGCGTGCGACGTCCAGAGAGCCAAAGTCCGTGGACGGCACGCTGGCTTCCCGCTGGTCGTCAAAGCGGACGGCCGCTGGGGGCTTGCCCATCGCCTCCGCGATCAGCTCCGCCGTCTCCCGCAAGCTCGCGGCCTCCTCGTGCGCGATGTGCAGGGTCGCGCCGTGAACCATGCTGCCCTTGGCGAGGGTCGCCAGGATGGCGTCCCGCGCGTCTGGCGCGAAGACCCAACTGAATCGGTGTGGTCTGCCGACCACCGAAGCCTCGCCGTCCAGCCTCCGGATTCGCCCTGGCCCCAGGCCTGAGGGGATCGGCCGCTCCATCTCCACCGCCTTGGCGATGTCCCAGAAGCCGCCCAAATTGTCGTAAGGCCCGTAGGCGTCCGGGAGCCGCAGCACCGTGTAGGGCAGCCCGTCCTCGCGCCATGCGTCCTCCAGCACCCTCTCGCAGCTCAGCTTGTTGCCGCCGTAGCGGAGCTGGTACTCCCCGAGGGCTGTGCTCTCGGCGTAAGCACGGTGCCGCTCGAACTCGTCGGGAGGGAAGTCCTCCGCGTCCTGCTCCGCCAGTCGCACCTCCGCCTCGACGCATGGTACGCGCTGCGCCCAGTACACGCAATCCGAGGACACGAAGACGTAGTGTTTCGTGGCGAAACGCTTCCCCAAGGCGCTGTCTTTTCCGGGGGGCGTGGGCAACGTCAGCGCGTCCAGCGCGTCCCGCATGTACACCTCCTGGAAGCCGATGAAATCCACGACAGCATCGCATGAGCCTTGGCTGCGGACTGCGTCTCGGAAGCCCTCGCGGTCACCCATGCGGTCGCACCTCACCACGACCAAGCCTTGCAAGCCTTCGAAAGGGTTCGCAGTGCGCCCGCGGTTGAACAACACCACCTGGTGGCCAACATCGAGCAGGGCCTTCACCGTCAGGCGGCCCATGAACTGGGTGCCGCCGAAGACGAACACTCTCATGCCCTGTCCCAAGACCCGACGCTGTGAACAAAAAACATGAACACGTGTTCTCGACCTCAACTTTCAGCTTCGATTCTCGTGCCAATTCGATCTGTGTGGGTGCGTGGACCCCAGGCGGAACGAATAGTTGTATCCGCCAGCCCCATTGAAGACGCAATGCCTTATATTGCTGCTTTGTGTTATGTCTGCCTTTTGTGCTGCTTCCTGTCTCCGCAATGCTGTCTCCATATCGCTGTCCACTAGAATGTCATCCGGACCCAAACAAAATAAGGCCCCGAGACATCCCCGAGGGAAGAAACGGAAGTGAAAACCAAACTGGGTTCCATGTGTTTGTCAGATGTTTTGGTGCCAATGTGTCCCAAGATCGCTTCAAGATAGCTCCCAGAACCACCGAGATTGCTCAAAGCAGCCCTATGGTGGCCACAAAGGTCCCGAGATGCCGCCCAAATCATCCAGAATGGCCCAACAATAAGGCCTAAGGCACCAAGATGCCTCTCCCATGTCCGCAAAGTGAGCCCCAACGGCACCGATACAGCCCAAATCTTCCCCAAGATTCCCCATGAGACCGTTTCCTATCCCCGAGCGAGAACGGGCGTGACCTGGGGAGGGCAGGGGAGGGGGGGGCCCGTCACGTCACGATTTGCGCCAACGCCGTCTGGGAATGACTCAGAATGGCAAATTCCCAGACGGCGCCAGCGCGAACTAAACATGACCAGGGTGGGGGGCGGGGGGAGGCGGGGCGAGGCGAGGCGCGCGTGTCCGCCAGCCGGTGGCTAGCGGGGCCCGGGGGGCCAGCGCGGTTGGGCCGGGTCCGTAATACTTAGACGCTGGTGTAGGCGATGAAATCGTTCTCGAACGACTGCCAGAATACAGTGTCCGTAGCGAGTTCGTCCCTGATTATAATAGAGTGTAAGAACTGCGTGATGTCGTCGCTCCAGCGTTTTCGCTGACCATCATGCTTGCAGCGACCTTGACGCAGGTCGTGGGCGTTGGGCTGCCAGGCTGCAGCGAGTCGAGTCCTGCCCGTCGCCATTTCCGCTTGTTGTACAACATCGTCCAGTCCTCTACTTGAGAGCGCGCTGCCCGCTCCGAGGCTGCATAAATCGCTCTGCGAATAAATTCGCCCCAAGGTTCGAAGTCAGAATCTTCGTGGGCGTCGTCGAAATTGAGTTGCCGCCGGATGTCGTTGGAACTGCTTTGTGGTCCGTCGTCGCTCTGCTCTAGGTCAGATCTGGTCGTGTCATCGGCTGGTGAAGTCTGATTGATGGCTCGTCGCCTGGGCGTGCTCACTATGAGGCGTAACATGCGTCGCTGGGTGGGTCTCAGTACTAAGAGCATGTCCTTGGTGAGCGCACACGAGGTGCAGCCGTACATGACAGTTGGTGTCACCGTGCCCTTGAATAGTCTGAGCCTGCTATGAAAAGAATGCGGCTGCTTGTCAGTTCGTCTCAAATTTGCTGAACGTGCCCCATCCCATGGCAATTCTGTTGGAAACCTCGGCCCACTGGTAGTCGTGAGGAATCAGTCTCCGGCCCAAATACTTGGTCTCTTCGGCTTTGAAGGTTGCAACCGCGTCGCCGTCGATGCCGGCCTGATTCGTTGTTTGCCCGCGTCTCCTGCTCATGTCTGTGAGAAGTTTGGTTTTGTCAGGGTGCAGCTCAAGTCCTCACTTCGTGGCCGTGCGTTTGAGGTCACATAGGATGCGTTTGGGTTGGCGCAGATTGGGGGCGAGTAGTCGGACATCATCAGCAGATCGTGAAGTAGTCAGAAGAGTAAGCTTTTTGTACCTTAGCTGTATGCCAACACCCTTTCGTTCCCATGTTGGTTTGCACTGGCGGAACACATGCTCGAGCAGGGCATTGAAGAGGTAAGAGCTGAGTGGGTTACCTTGTTTGACACCGCGTTCGACGTTGAAGCTCCTGCTGCTGACGTCTGTCGTCACCGTCGCGACCTGTCCACTGCAATACTTCTATGATAGGGTGATGTACGGAACCGGTACGCATTGTTCCCGGACGGTTTCCCACATGCAACCGTGGTCCACGCAACCGCACGTTTTTTTTTGAAATCCATTGCAACCGCCCACAGATGCAATTGCCATTCGTAGGAGCACCCGTGCAACACAATTGTGGTGAAAACGGTGGTCCTCTGGGCAGAAACCCCTGCGGAAGCCGGCTTGGTCGGAAGACAGTTTCGAGTCGAAGAGCGCCTCGAGTCGGTTGCACAGCAGTCGAGACATCAACTTGTAGAGTAGTGGTATGATATGAATTGGTCTGTAGTTGCCAGGTAAGCGAGGGTCGCCAAACTTGAAGATGGCGTTCATCGTGGTGCGCCTCCATTGCTCGGGCTGTGTCGGGTCAAGCGCGAGAATATCGTTGAAGAGCTTGTGCGACTGCTGCACGATCGTCTACCCTCCCGCTTTCAAATTTCAAAAGATCTGCAGTGAGGCCAGCCGCGTCTCTGCATCTGCCGGTCTTGACATGCCTCATTGCTTGGTGTAGCTCGTCTTTGGTAAAAAGTGGGATGGCTTGTTGGGTGGTGTCGGTCACTTGGTCGGTCGTGGATCTGCCGGCGTTGGTACAGCGTCGGTATAGCTCTTCGTAGAAGTCTGCAAACACGTCTGCAATCCCATGGACAGCAGCAGCACCAGCAGGGAGAGGGAAGCAGGCGGCAGGGAGGAAAGAGGAAGAGAGAGAGAGATGAGGCAGCAGAGCAGAAAAGGGAGGAGAGCACGGCAAGCGGCGCGCAGCAGCAGGGAGACGGGAGACCAGGGAATTGCATGCCAAATGAAACCCAGAAGCTGATTTAAGAAGCGCGGTTCACCTGCCCCGCAGGCTAGCACAACGACATCCTGAAGCGGCCCCAGCCAATATCATGAGTGAAACCCGTACAGTCACGAGGCGATGAGGAGGAGGAGAGAGAGAGGAGAGAGAGGGACAACTAGACGGCAAGCAAATCAAGGCAAGTACGAGGATTATGTTGAAGGGCAGCGGCTTCGCTGCGATTGGCGACGGCTCCGCCCAGAAAGGAAACGGAGGCGGCCCCAAACGGGGGAGCCAATGTCCTCATGCACGCCAAGGCCAAGCAAAAGCGCCGCCCTGGACCTTAAAACACTTCACGCCCCAATAACGAAACACATGCACCCAACCTAGAGAATCACGGTCTAGCCTTAAAGACGAATCAGGCGGCAAGGAGAAAAAGGAGAAGAGGAGGAGGGATGAAACGCGTTCGCAAAGCCTCTGCACAAGCGGAGCCGCACTCAGAATCCGCACTCAGAATGCTGCTCGCTGTTGTCGTGGAGCTCACGGTGGAACTGGCCGTGGATGTCGCCATGCTGCTGTTGGCCCGCGTAGTGCGGTTCGACCACGTTGCAATCGGAGTCGTGGGTAGCACTCACGCTGCTTGACCGGGCCGCGCTCAACCTGCTGCTCGCAATCCTGGTGAAACTCACCGTGGAACCGGCCGTTGACGTCGCCGTGTCTCTCCTGGCACGCGTAGTGCTGCTCACCAGCGTTGCTATCGCATCCTTATGACTATATGTCGAGCTGATCGTCCAGACCGTGCTCACACTGCTGCTCACTGTTGTCACGTAGTTCATCGTGAAACTGGCCGTGGACGTCGCCGTGCTACTGCTGGCCTGCGCCGTGCTGCTCGACCCGTTGCAATCGAACCCATGCTACTAGAATCGGCGCTGTTCGACCCGAACTCGCTGACATTGTGGCTCGCGACGTAGGCGTCGGTGCTGGTGGAGTTGCTGGCGCTAATACCGTCGTGGGCGCTGGCCTCTGTGTTGGCGTCGTGCTGGCGTCGGAGCTGGCGTTGGCGCTGGTGTTGGAGCTGGCGTCTGTCCTGGGGCTGGTGCTGGTTTCGGGGTTCCCAAGTCAGCGTGCCAAGCTGACGCGTAAGGGTGTTGGTGCCGGCGTAGGCGCGGGCTTTGGTGCTGGCGTCGGCGACGACGTCGGCGCTGCTCGTGCCAACGCTTGTGCGGCGTTGGCGCTGACGTAGGCGCTAGTGTCGGTACTGGCGCAAGCGCTGGCGGTGGTGGCGTCGTAGGCGCCGGCGTTAGTGCTGGAGTCATTGCTGAAGTCGGCGCGGGTGTAGGCCCTGGCGTTGGTGCATGCGTATGTCCCGACGCTGATGCTGGCGTCGGAACTGGCGTATGCACAAGCGTTGGTGCTGGCGTCGGTGTTGGCTTCTGTGTCGGTGTAGACGTTGGAGTCGGAACCCACGTAGTAAGCGCCGGCCTGCGCGCTGGCGTCGGCGCTGATGTAAGTGATGGCTTAAGTGCCAGAGTAAGCGCAGGCGTTGATGCTGGCGTCAGTGCTGGCGTTGGCGCTGACGTAGGCGCCGGCGTTGGTGCTGGACTTGGCGCAGGCGTTGATGCTGGCGTCGGCACTGGTGCCAGCGCTTGCGCAGGCACCGGCGTTGGAGCTGGCGTCGGGGCTGGCGTCGGTGCCGGGATAGGCTGGCGCTGGTGCTGGCCTCTGTGCTGGCGTCGGCGCTGGTGTGAGCGCTGGAGTTGGCGCTAGCACTGTGGACCTTGTGCCCTTGTGGGTAACAAGCACGGCTCCTGAATAGTCTTCCCGTCCTCCGCTGGGTGCCGAGACGAGGGATAGAATTTCGGCCACGTTCGTAGGACAGAATTCCACCTGTGATGACTGTCTGGGGAGTCGTCGCGCGACCTGTATTCACGGATAGGCCAGATCGGCCAGTACTCCCAATGGCAATCTAAAAGGTCTCCTCCAAAGGCATGAATCGTGTCCACTGGCGAATAAGCGCCCGAATTTCCGCCCCTCCGGCAGGGCGGCAAGACGAGCCTTAGAATGTGGTGCCCTGCATGTGTTGCAAGCTGTCTTGTCCTGGCCGCGTGGCCGATGGAATGCGCGGCCTTACGGGCAGAAGGTCGATGCAACGCAAATGTCACGAATTTCGGCTCCCATTCTTTGTGAAATGCGTGGGGAGCGTTGCGCGAGCGCCTGTCCCTGTTCGCTGCTGTCTGGTGGTCGCCTGGCTCTGGACACAATAGTGCGGGCCTAGTACTGGAGTCGTAGCCGGAGTCGCGGGGATAGGAGCCAGAGTCGGAGACGTCGACGCTGCCGTCAATACCTGGGGCCGGAATCCCAGCCTGAGTTGTGTGCACAGTAGCTGAACTCGGGGACGTTGTTGGTCAGCCTTGAGGCTGGAGTCGGAGGCGCTGTCGGACGGGATTTGATGGGCTGTTGCTAGCGAGGTGCTTTTTAAAGTGTGGATGAAAGTCGGAGTTGTTGAGTCGCGGTGGTTGCTGACGTGGACGCTTGCGTCGTTGTCGTCGTTGTCGCTGTCGGCGTCCTGTGCTGCTCACTGCTAGTCGGAGATGCACAACTTGATGATCGGAGTTGAGGTCTGGGCACGTCGTAGCGAATGAATCGAGTACCAGATGCCAGGCCCGTTGGTCCACCAACATGTAGTCGATCTATGTTTCTGCCCGGTTGCAGCCTGAAGGTGTGTCTGCCAACCTGCGCGATGAAGTCGCCCGTCAGCACTGTCATTCGCTTGCGTCTATGTGCTTCGGTGTGCATTTCAGAAAAAGCGCTGTACATGGCCTGCATGTGGTGGTCGCTGTAGCCTCCATGAGGGTAGCATGCTGTAACAAACCGGAATGGGAGGTGAGGGAAATCGGTGTCGATGTAGGCGATCCGTTCGTTGATGGCTTTGAATCTCCACATGCGTTGCGCGTGCCGCCCGTGCACCATGAACGCAACACTACGAGTTGGAGAGTCATGCCCAGCAGCTGCAAATATGTGATTACCACGCTCCATAACCCAGAACTCTCGTTCTATCGTCCACCATGTTTCGTTGAGTGCCACCACGTCCCAGGATACATCTGAAAGCTCATGGATGAGCAGGTCAATCGCGTCGTCGTTGGTGAGACTTCGGGCGTTTTCGTGAATAATCGTCACGGTGTCATCTCTGACGCTGGATTGTAGGTGGACGTCTGCTTTGCCAGTGGATGCTTGTGATGCAACTGTCGCTGTCGGTTGTTGAATGTCTAGTTTCGAGTGCTGCTGGTCGGAACGTGGTGCTTGGTGGTGGAACGTCCCCCTCAGTGGTGGAATGGCGTCCTCTACTTCCTCCAGTGCTGTGCTGAACTGGATGTCGATGCGGCTGTGGTCGTTGATCAGGCAAAGAGCGCATTGTCGGCAAGCTTCGGGTTGCTCATCGTCGGATTGGACGCTGATCACCTGTAGCAGGCGCCTGGCGGCATCCTGTGAGGGACACCTGGGTGTTTTGAGGGAGTCGTCGAAGCTATCATCGGAATTCCGCCGTTTGCAGTTTGACACTGTCGAGGTCGAGGGTGAAACGTGGAGGGCTGGAATTGGGGTAAAGACAGTCGGATGTGTTTCCTCCGCTCCGTGATTGGTACTCCGACCACCTGTCTGGTCGAAGCTGGAGTCGGGAGTCGTGCACATAGGTATCCAGATGCGGCTGGTTGCCTGCAGCGGGTAGGAGTAGGGGAGGTCGGTGGGAGTGGCTGGAACGAATGATAATAATGTCCTGAAGCTCCTTTGGAGTGCTGCCTGATTTCCAAGCAAAAAGGTTGTCCTCCCAGACATGCGTGGAGCCTCTGTCACGGGCGTTATCGCGCACAATGGAAAAATAGGCTCCACGGGCCCAAGGTTGCCCCAAGATAGCCACAGAGATGGCGAGGTCCAATCTGAATCAGTTGCGTCACTCCGCTGGCCCCCGCAGCAGCCCTCGAAAGTGGTGGCAATTTCGCAATTCGCACCACCACAAAGATGGTGAGGTCTAATCGGAATCCGTTTAGGGCGTCACCGTGCTGGCCACCCCAGTAGCCCTCAAAAGTGGCGACAGTTTCGCAGATCGCAGCCCCTCAGGGATGGCGAGGTCTAATCTGAATCCGTTTAGGGTGTCACTGTGCTCCCCCCCTCCCAGCAACCCCAAAAGTGGCGACTGTTTCGCAGATCTCAGCCCCCCAGGGATGGCGATGTCTAACCGGAATCCGTTGAGGCGTCACTCCGCTGAACCCCCCAGCATCCCTCAAAAGCGGCGACAGTTTCGCAGATCGCAGCCCCCCAGGGATGGCGAGGTAGGAGGCAGGGTAGCAGGCAGGTACGAGGGGGGAAGAGATGAGAAGCGAGACGGGAGGCGGGAAGAGGTCGCGACCGCAGTGTTCCGCTCCAAACGAGAACCCAACGCAGGATGATTGGGAAACATCACGCATATTATTTGTGCTTTTTAAAGGAATTGGGCGTTCTCGTCTTCTCGGCTTCCCCATGCTCTCCAAGACGGCCCAAGAGGCCTCCAATATCGTTTCAAGAGGCAGCAATATCGCTCTGAGATAGCCCAACCAATCTCCAAGAGGGCCCCGAAACGACCCAAGAGGGCCCCCAGACAGCCCAGAGGCCTCCAAGACAGCCCAAGAATCCCCAAGACGGCTCCCCGAGCGTGCCCAGACAGGGGACTCGAAAGGAGCTCTGGAAACTCTGGCCCTGGAGCCTCCCAGGAGGCCCCAAGGCGCTCCCAAGAGGCCCCCCCAAGACAGACAGACAGACAGTCCCGCAGAAGGCACCTACGCGGGTGCAGCGGGTTGGCGCCGGGGCGCCTACGTTGGCCTCTCAGACTCTGGAACTGGTACTTTAAGCAGCCGGGGTCAGAAAAGCCGGAGTCGGAGAGCATGAGTCGGAGAGGCGCCGGACGCCGGAGTCGGATTGAAGAGCATCTGCGATCTGGAAATGGACCTTGACCACTCATTGTCGTGCATACCCAGACTCCAAGCTGTTCCATATGTCAGTATCTGCGATTCGCAGTGACCCTGCAACGTGCTGCGGCGCGTCCTCTACACACCGTCCAATGTAGGATAATAAGTCGTCCCACCACCTGGAGGTCCCCCAAGAGGTCCGCCAAAGAGACTCCTGGAGGCCCCCAAGAGGCCCCCAGGAGGCCCCCAGGAAGACCCCAAAGGCCTTCAGGAGGCTCTCAAGAGACCCCCAAGAGGCTCCGGAAGACCCAAGAGGCCCCCCCTCTCCTCGTGCACCTGTTCAATCTCCCTGTCCTTCTCGCATACAGGGTCGGCGGCACCGGCCGTAAGGCCTTCACAGCAGGCGGCATGGCCCCCAGGCTGCCCCAAGACAGCCTCAAGATGGCTCAGACGGGGGGTCCAGCGGCAGAAGGCGCACAACCACTCGCGCACACGTCGGCAGATTTTGTGGGAAGGGCGCGCGGATCCGAGAGTCCTTCGAAGGGGCCACTGCCGCGCTGCCCAGCCACCACTGTGCTGGCTGCCATGCGGGCCCGCGCGCGCACGAGGACGCGGGGGCGCCCCAGGGGGCGGGCGCACCACCACCCTCGAGGCTGCAGGGATGGAAGGAGAGAGAGAGAGAGAGAGAACAAAAAAAAGGGGGGGAGGGGGAGGAGCAGCAGCAGCAAAATAATCAGGAGGACGAGGAAGACGTGGAGGACCGGCACGCGGATACGAGCCAATGCCTGCCTGCTCTGTGCCTGGGGATGACGAGAATATCGGTGAAAATAAATATCATGGCGAAGAACCTAGCCACCTGAAGTGTGAATACCGCGGTTGTGATTATTTCTTTCGGTGGAGCTCCCTAGCCGCATGCGAACGCAACCACGAAATGTCCGGTGGACCTTCCTCCGTATTGGGGCACGAAATGTCCGAAGGGTGTGCCGAAATTGCGGTGGAACCGCATGCGAACGCCACTGGGGCCTTCGGGGGAGCTCCCTATGGGGCCACGAAATGTGCGAGGGGTGTGCCGAAATGGCTGTGGAACCGCATGCGAACGCAGCCACGGGGGCCTTCGGGGGAGCTCCCTATGGGGCCACGAAGTGTGCGAGGGATGTGCCGAAATTGCGGTGAAACCGCACGCGAACGCCACCGCTGGGGCCTTCGGGGGAGCTCCCTGCGGGGCCACGAAATGTGCGAGGGGTGTGCCGAAATGGCTGTGGAACCGCATGCGAACGCAGCCGCGGGGGCCTTCGGGGGAGCTCCCTATGGGGCCACGAAATGTGCGAGGGGTGCGCCGAAATGGCTGTGGAACCGCAAGCGAACGTCACCGCTGGGGCCTTTGGGGGAGCTCCCTACGGGGCCACGGAACGTGCGAGGGGTGTGCCGAAATGGCTGTGGAACCGCATGCGAACGCAGCCACGGGGGCCTTCGGGGGAGCTCCCTATGGGGCCACGAAGTGTGCGAGGGGTGTGCCGAAATGGCTGTGGAACCGCAGGCGAACGCAACCACTGGGAGTGCCGAAATGGCTGTAGAACCGCATGCGAACGCAGCCGCTGAGGCCTTCGGTGGGGCTACCTATAAGGCCACAAAACGTGTGAGGGGTGCGCCGAAATGGCGGTGGAACCGCGCGAACGCCGCCGCTGGGGCCTTCGGTGGAATTCCCTACAAGGTGTGCCGAAATGGCTATGGAACCGCATGCGAACGCAACCACTGGGGCCTACAGTGGAACTCCTTATGGGGCCACAGAAACGTATGAGGGGTGTGCCGTCATGGGGGTGGGGAGAATGGAAGAGAGGGAGGAGTAGGAGGACGAGGAGGAGGAGGAGGAGGAGGAGGAGGAGGAGGCGGAGGCGGAGGCGGAGGCGGAGGCGGAGGCGGAGGAGGAGGAGGAGGAGGAGGAGGAGGAGGAGAAGAAGGAGGAGAGGAGAACGCGGCGCGCTGTCTCGTCAGAACGAAGACCCAGCACCACAGGATGGTTGGGACTAAGGAGGAATGCCAGGAAGGCGAGACGGAGAGGGAGCAGGAGTGCACGGGCAGTCGGCCAGAGAAGAAGGAGCAGACTGAAGAGGACGACGACGAAGACGACGAGGATGAGGATCAACCCCTCTCGACGAGCGCCAGCAGGCGGATCGAACATTGCAGCTGCCCGCGATTCCGCCGCGGGCGAACGCTCAGGGAGGACAAAGGACGAGGAAGTGAATCAGTAGGGGCAGGCGAACGAAGGAGGGATGGAGAATGTTGGTCCGCCTCGTAATTCGCAGTGACAGAGGAGCGTGCGCTCGCTGCGGGAACGTAGGAGGAATGACGGCGGCGGGACGAGGGGAAGGAAGAAGAGGTGAACGAGCACGGAGAAGGAGGGGCAGGAGAGAGGGGCGCTAGCTACAGGAGAGAGGTGGCAGACGGATGGCCGAGGGAGAGGCGGGGAGCGAGGAAGAGGACGAGAAGGAAGGAGGACAGAGTAAGGAGGAGAGCACAAAGAGGTAGGGAGAGAGGGAGGAAGGAGAGGAAGACTACACAGGATGAGGATGAAAAACACGACGATGACGACGACGACAACGACGACGACGACAAGGGGTAGGGGGGGCGATGATAATGCGAAGGAAAAGGCAGAGGAGGAGGAGGAGGAGGAGGAGGAGGAGGAGGAGGAGGAGGAGGAGGAGGATGAGGAGGAGGAGGAGGAGGAGGAGGAGGAGAGGGAGGAGGAGGAAAGAGGAGGATGAGGAGGAACGAACGACGGAGGAGGAGGAGGAGGAGGAGGAGGAGGAGGAGGAGGAGGAGGAGGAGGAGGAGGAGGAGGAGGAGGAGAAGGAGGAGTGAGGAGGAGGGGGGGAGGGGCAGGAGGACCCCCAGCCCGACATCGGCCGCTTCCAAAACTCACCACGCCCGCTGCACTCGGGCTCCAACTCTTGCCGCCCCCGCCGATCTCCGCGATCCCGCCGTGCTCCTCCCCTGCCTACAGTCGGGCTGCTGGAATAAACAACGCTGAATAAGGAACGAAACCCTTTTTGGGAACCAGCAAGCCTGGGTGCATGAGGAGGGCGAGGGGAACAACCACGGAATGCTCCTTCAGAACCCAAAGCGGTCATTATCTCAGCGCCTTGGCTGCAGTCCGCGCGCGCGCTCCCTGAACCTCTCGACGCGGGCGCCCACCTCGACCCAAACGCTGCCCGCCTACGTGGCGCATCGGTGGGCGGCGGGCGCCCTCACCGCGCCGCTCCGATCCGCAGCCCCTCACCGCACCACGGCCCTCGTCCCGTCGGGCGGCCCCCCGCGCTGGAGCTGCCCTGGCGGCCCTGACATTGAGGGAAGCGGCGCGGGCCGAAACGCCCCGTCGGCGGGCCCCTGTCGGCTCAGGAGCGGATCTTCCGGCCCCGTGGTGGGGTCCTCGGGGCGGCGCCTCTCTTCCTCTTCCTCTTCCTCCTCCTCCTCCTCCTCCTCCTCCTCTTCCTTCCCCTCCTCCTCCTCCTCCTCCTCCTCCTCCTCCTCCTCCTCGTCCTTCTTCTTCTTCTTCTTCTTCTTCCTCCTCATCCTCTTGATTCTCCTTCCACAGCGGCAGGAGCGCTGCCCCCTGTCCGCGCTGCTGCCCTTCATCGCGCGCCGACGGGCGCGCCGCGGGCGGAAGGCGCAAGGGCCCCCCCGGACCACAAGGGGACCTTGTTTCTGTTAAGAGGGGGGAGGAGGGGGAGGCCACCTGTCCGTCCTACATCCCGGGGGTCGATCAAGGGAGGGGGAAGGGAGAGCCCGTTTATCGTCCTTACAATGCGCTTGATGTAGGCGTGGTGAATGGTCAATAACGGAATATTTGTAGTACCCTAGCCCGTAACGCTGTGCCGGCCTTTGGTATTATGCCGACAGAAGCACGTTGCAGAGTAAGCTCAGCATGCGGCCTCCGCCGGATTATAGCTTTGCCTACGGTGGACTCTCGGCCACCCCTCTGTCGGACAGTAGTCTGTCGGGTGTCGATGCGTATTACTACGCAATCGACGTACTTCTGGCTGGGTTTCGCCTCGACAAGTACCGCCTATGGTGATCGATCGCTTGGTCTCGTTGGGCTCTCGATCGCGGTGGCGCCCCTCCGCCACGTCATGCCGAGTTTCCAACCACCATGTCTCATATCGCTTCGCGGATGTTCTGATTTGGGCCCTGGCTTGTTATACTTTTCATGTTTTACCACTGCTGCTCCAATAGGCTGCTGGGAATGTGTTTCCGTGCGCTTCCCGTGCAATCCGTAATTCTTGAGCCACGGCCTGTGGCTCCGAATGCAAGTCCGATCGCAAACGGCCCGCTCGAACTCGGCAAGACGTCCTCGTAGCTCCTCAGCTGGAAGTCCTCCTAGCTCTGCGCGTGGCCTCTGTCGCCCAGCTTGTGGTTCTCGCTGTTCAGCTGGTGGCCCCAACAGCTCTGCTGAAGTTCTCGTCGGTCAGCCTGTGGCTTCCGCGGGCGGCTTTCGTAGTTCAGAACGTGGCCCTGGTAGCTCCGCTGGTGAATATCGTAGCTCAGCTTGTGGCCCTCGTAGCTCCGCAATAACACGCGTAGCGCAGCTGGTGGCTCCGGGAGCTCTGCTTGCGGCCCTTCTAGCTGTGGTGGGAACTCTCGAAGCTCTGCTCGTGGTTTTCGTTGTTCAGATGATGGCGCTCGTAGCTCTGCCGATGGTCTTCGTCGCCCTGCGTGTGGCCCCGTGAAGCAGGTTCTCGATGTTCAGGTGGGCTGCCCTCGCAGCTCAGTCGGAGGTTCTCGTGCATCAGCCTGTGGCCCTAGTTGTTCCACTGGCGGCCTTCGTAGCTCAGGAGGAGGTCCTGGTAGATCCGCTGGTGGCTCTCGCAGCTCAGCTGGTGGCTCACGTAGCTCAGCTGGTGGCCTTCGTAGCTCCGCTGGTACCTCTCGTAGCTCGGTTGGTGGCTCTCGGCGCTCTGCTTGCGGCCATCTTCGCTCTGAAAGTGGCCCTCGCAGCTGTGCTTTTAGCTCGCGCCTTGCGATGGCACGGCCTCCCCCCCCCCCCCCCCCCCTCGTAGCACAGCTCCTGGTCCTCGGAGCTCCGCTGCTGGCTCACGCGGCTCTGCTTGCGGCCTGCGTAGCCCAGCTTGTGGCCCTCGCAGCTCAGCTTGTGGCTCGCGAAGATCTGCAGGCGACCCTCGAAAAGCCTGCTCGTGGGCCTCGTAGCTCAGCTCGTGACTCTTGGCGTCTTGCTCGTGCCCTCGTAGCTCTTCTGGTCGCCTTTGTAGCTCCGCAAGTGGCCCTCGTGGCTCTGCGCGTTGCCCTTGGAGCTCTGCTTGTGGCGATTGTAACTCAGCCTTGAGGCCCTCGGAGCTCTACTGGTGCCTGTCGCAACTCCGCAGGTGGCCCGTGCAACTCTGCGTGTCGCCCTTGATGTTCTGTTTGTGGCCCTCGTATTTCAACCTGTGGCTCTCGTAGCTCATCCAATGGCCTTCGTAGCTCTTCCAGGGATTCTTGTGACTGGGGAGGTGGCCCTGGTATCACAGCTGGTGGCCCTCGTAGCGCCGCTGGTGGTTCTCGTAGCTCCGCCTGTCGCCCTTGCAGCTTGGCTGGTGGCCCTCGTCTCGCAACAGGTTGCAATGGTAGCTCTGCTGGTAGTTATCGTAGGTCTGGTCATGGCCCTCGCAGCAGTGGTGTCATGGTGAGGAAACCGTTTGTGGTGTATTCGTCGAGACCATTGTATTAGCCGTAGCCGTTGTAGGCGTCTGAATCGTAATCGTTGTAGGCGGCGTAGACGTGGTTCACCGGCATCTCCACGACAATGTTCTTGTTCACTTCTTCCTTGTTGACGTCGCGCTGGCTGGCGCTTGATCACCAAATCGACGTCCTTCTGAGCGATGTAGCCGTGAAGCCGTTTGTCCGCGCAGCGTATCCCAGCCTACACTTTGCAACGCGTGCTGCTCTCGGCCTCCTGCGGCCGGGTATGGTCTCGTAGTCCTTCTCGTCATCGATTGCTGGCGCCCACGGCTTACGTTCCGCCGTCGCGCAACGGCAGGCCGTGCGGGCCGAGGCTGGCCGCCGGCCCCGCGGCCCCAAGGCCCCGAACGCGGGGAATGGCTCCCGCAGTAGGCCTTCCTGAACCTCCTCCTCCTTCTCCTCCTTCTCGCGTTCTTCCTCTTTCATGATTCTCCTCCTCCTCCTCCTCCCGTTCTTCCTCCTCCTCCTCCTCCCGTTCCTCCTCCCGTTCCTCCTCCTGCAACATTCATTTTCCATATAGGTGCCTCCTCCCTGTCGCACCCCGGGGCCGGTCGAAAGGGCGGGCCGGGCGTTTCGCCTTAGACTTCCTCACGCATTGTGACCCTGAAACTTAAAATTTGCAACAATTTCACGGATGGAGGGCAGTCCGCATGTGGCTCTCGCCTTGGCGTTGCGCGCATTCGTCTTGACAATTTGCAACAACTTCACGAACGTAGGGCGGTATGTTTTTGAAATGTGGCTCTCGCCTTACGCACATACGTCTTAATTTAAGAAGAGTTTCGCAGATGGGGGACAATTGGGGACGATTCTTTTTCAAACTGTGGCTTTCGTCTTAACGCCGCGCTTATCCGTCTTCAAAAATTACATGATCTTCGAGGATTGAAGGCGGTTCCTTTCAACATGTGGCTCTCGCCTTAGCGCCGCGCGCATTCGTCGTAAGACTTTGCAACCGGTTCAAAGCCTTTCATCTCATGGTTTAACGTCCCAGAAAAGGTGTTTTAGCACGATGCCGGAACGTCGGGGCGCAACAGTCACGTTGATTCAAGTCCCAAGAACGGTGTTCTGGCGCGATTCAGGATCGACAATGCGCAACAATAGCGGTGACTCGCGGTGCTGGTGTCCTAGGAGTGGTGTTCTGGCACAAGTCCTGATTTTCAGGTGGTTGTGTTTCTACGGGGCAGTCGGCTCAATCAACATGATTCCGTGCAGGAGCTTATGAAGAGAATGAAGGGTTTATTGCGATATGATTGATGCGCCTTGGGCTTACACTGGTCCTCCTCCTCCTCCTCCTCCTCTTTCTCCCGGCGGCGGCGGCGGCTGATGAGAACGGCGGCGGCGGCGGCGGCGACGACAACGGTGCGGACCGCGGGGCTGCCAGGACGCCGGCGTCCGTGGGCGTGCGCCGCTGGACCCGTGGTGGGCTCCTCGGGCCACCGGGACCGCACGCTCGTCCCGACGTCTCTGTTGACGGCCCCGCGGGGGCCGAAGCTTGCCGGAGACGTGCCGCCATCACCATTGCGCGGGGCGCGGGGGTCCACGGCCGCCGTTCGGGACGATCTGGGCACCCGTGGAACGCTCTCGGCCGGGCGCAGCCATTGGCGAGCGTCAAGAGGCTGGATAACCGCTGGGGTCCGACGACAACGTCCGAAAACCTCCGACCGGTCTGCGGTGGCGGCGAGGCCGCAGAGGCGCCCCGCGCGGAGGCGGCCGCGGGCTCCTCGGGCGCCACCGGGCCCATGTCCGGCGCTGGCTCCGCCTTGGGGCGGGTCCCGCTGCGGGCGCTGGCCGAGGCCGCCCCGCTCCCCGTACTCCCAGGCATCTCGAGGGCCCTGGGGAGCCTTCAGGCCAAAAGTCCGCCCCAAACCGGAGGCGAAACATCCTGATGATTGTTTCTCGCTTTTTTGCTTCAGAGGAGCCTCCGAAGCCTCAAGATGGCCCCAAGACCGTCAAGATCGCCCACGAGAGTCTCAAAAGGGGCCCAGACGAAGTCCAAGAGGACCCCCAAAGCGCACAAGAGCGCACCAAGAGGGATCTCCAAGAGCCGACATTTCAGTCTCTGACTTGGCGCGGCTACCAAAAAGGACCCCCCCTTCATTGATCGATGCCCTCGACGATGGCCTCAAGAGTGTCCCCAGGGCCCTCGAAAGGGCCATAAAAGGGCCCTTAAAACTCCCCAGGCTGCCCGTTAGAGCTAAAGATCCGTGAAGGTCTTTCTGGTTGACTCATGCCGTCGTCGTCGTCGTCGTCCTTCTCCTCCTTCTCCTCCTCGTCATCGTTAATGTCGTCTCCCCTTCCTTCTCCATCTTCCTCCTGCTTGTGTACCTGATTCTGCTCCTCCTCCTCCTCCTTCTCCTCCTACCTCCTCTTCCTCTTCCTCCTCCAACCTCTCTCGTCAGCTTGTTCCTTGTTTCCCTTCATCGTTCTCCACTTTCTCCTCCACCTGCTCCTCCTCCTCCTCCTCTTCCTCCTCCTCCTCCTCCTTCGGTGACTGCCAGTGGATCTTAGATACCTTCGCCGACCCTGGGTCAGCTTTCACTGGCGGCTGGGCTGTGCAGCCATTGTGGGACTCGGATTTACAATGTTGCAATCGATACTGGGCTGAACAACATATATTTATCTACATGTATTTACATATGTGTGTACACAAGACCATGTGTGTACGTACACACACATACATAATACATAGTTATATATATATGCGTAAGGTGTTCTCACCCCCGTCTGAGCAGGACGAGCGGCAGCCAGTGTGGTGCACCAGGGCTGGCAAGGTCGTTGACGAATACGCCAAGAGAAGGGTGGTCATGCATCCTTGCAGTGAGGCCGCTCCTGCTCGGCTAAAGGCGCTCACGAGAAGCTGACACTTCCTTGGGCAAATACATCGGTTATGTGGCTTCTTCAGCATTGGCTATGCTACCTAAAGGCGCACAGAGACCAACGAGTGAGGCCCCCTTCCCACCCACACTTTCCGTAGTTGCCCCTCTCCGAGGTATTCCTCACCAGATTATTTGGGACCGGCGCCTGAAGTGCTACATATGCAATAATTGTTGAACTTTGAGCAACACCCAGGTTGCATTGGCTAGTACGAGCTGTCCTGGCCCTGATGGTTGCGGCCTTTATTTAATGACGGGGCCATGCATGTTTTGCCGCATCTGCGCGGCCTGCAGCTGCACTAATGTCACTAACCTCCCACGGATATGTCGCCAGAAGAATACTGCCGATGTATCTCGAAGGCGCCTGGAGAGCCTTCTCGAAGACTGTGTCCATCCCCATGTTGCTAATACGTGACTAAATGAATTCTGTGGAAAACCCTGAGGGCATATATGAAGGGGCCCTAGGACACACAAACAAGTACAAGGATGCACCATATTGTTCCATTCTTTTTGGATTTTCGTCTTCCCCCCCACCACTTCCAATATTTTTGCATATTGTCTTGGATTTCGATGATTAATTGTGTCTGTGTTTTTTCCCTCCTGAATCTACCCTGGGCTCCAAATGCCTGTCTTGACCCCTCAGAGCAGGACCCTCTGGGAGACAACTCTCTGCAATTTGTACTCCTTGCTGCTATGGGCCTCGATGGTTCTCGCCGAGAAACAATGCACACGTCCGAGCGATGCCAAGCTCTGCCTATGCTCCGCGCGGGAATGGGCGCGGCGCGCCCCAGGCGCCTTCCCGCACCCGCCACGCGTGAGCGGCAACTGCTTTGTCGCTGTCGTCGTCGTCGCCGGTCGCGTCGCCGCGGGTGTCCCGTTCGTCGTCTGTCGTGTCGTCGCTGCCGTCGCCGTCTCGCCCGCCGCCGTCGTTGGTGGCTGCCTGCTTTTCCCTTTCCTGGACCTCGTGCCCCTGCGCAGGCGTTCGCGAGGCCAACCTCGAATCCAAGAATCCTCCTCCTCCTCCTCCTCCTCCTCCTCCTCCTCCCTCGGAGGCGGCGGGCTCAACAACTCCACTCCTGGGTGCCCACAACGCGCCAACAAAGCGCCCACGGGCTCCACGAGGCGGAAACCCAACAACCAACCACCACGCACGGGGCGCCCACGAGGCCCACCGGGCGCAACCCCAACAATCAGGTCCTAATACTGAGAAGAGAAATAAGAAGCGCTACGTGCCAGCATGGGGAAGGCAGACACGACCAGAGCTCTCGACACCATCTTCCTGTGGCACTTCTCGGGCTGGAGAAATTCCAGTGGGGGTCACAGGGACCGGAAGCACAGGCGAAAACGTGAGGGGCAACGATGGTGGGGGACTGGCATAGGGTTGAAAATACTAACGAACTATCAACTTGAATCGGCGATACATCGCCGACAGACCAGCGATAGGCCCCCAATAGCAAATCCGCACGTTCCTGGGCGGGGCGGGGCTATCAGACCCCTATCGGCGATCAATGGGCAACTGGGGGAAGATGCATCCCCACCTGTGCCTATCTCCCCCTACCCGCCAGTCGGACAAAAACAGTGGAAACATGAAGTAGAAAGGCGGATGAAATAGATTGGGTTCGGATCCGCCCAAATAATGACGGCACAATAGCACCATATCGATTCTCGAAGTAGGAAGGCGCTTGAAGTAGATCGGGATCTGGATACCCCAAAGTACATCCTTTCAACGACCATCGTGTATCGTTGCCACTGAAAACGCCAACTGTCATTTGTCGACAGCGCCCAGATCTGAGGGCTATACCGCCTCCAAGATGTCCGGCGGCGACGTGGACGGCGGCTCCTCGGGCGCCACTGGGCCCATGTCGTGCGCCACCATGCCCGTGTAGGGAGACCCGCGGCCTCCGTCGGGGTCGACGGGTTCCTCATCACAGAGTTGGTGAAGGCAAGGCTATGCAGAAGGTAGGGGCCTCCTGATTTCAAGAGGCGCTGCAGGAGAAGAATACCTGAGAGAAGCCGTGCTACCTCACAATTTGAGTGCTTCTCGACTTTCGATACATATATATATATATATACAGACATAGAGAAGAAAGAGAGAGAGAGAGAGAGCGAGAGAGAGAGAGAGAGCGAGAAAAAAAAGGAAAGAGAAAGAGAGAGAGAGAGAGAGGGAGAGGGAGGGGGAGAGAGATACGCCACCGTGCGCTCGAGGCACGAGTTGGAGTGCTCTCAAGCTCTTTGTTTGATCCCGTCCTCAATCGTCAATCCTAAGGATTCTTAAAGGGGCCCGGACTCCAGACTGCCAAATCTTCAAGGATTTGCCGCTTGTCTCCTGGGGCGCGCCGCATCTGCTCGCGTTACTTTTTCGTGCCCAAGAGGGCTCCAAGACGGGCCCAGAGGGCCCTGAGAGACCGCCCAGACGGTCCAAGGGGGCCCCGAATCGCTGCACGGTCGGTCCAAGACGCCCCAGATGGCCTAGAGACGGTTCAAAAGACTTCGAGGCGCCCCAAGAGCCTCACGAGCCTTCCCAAGAGGACCCCGAGGCGCAAATCAGTGATTTTCCGTTGGTTTTCAACGGTTTGGGGACCATCGACTTTTCGAGCTTCCGACGCTCCAAAACGGCCAAAGAGGCAAGACGCCCAAAGGCTCCAAGACGGCCCCAGAAGCGCGCCAGGACGGCCAAAGAGGGTCCAAATATAGCCCCAAGAACGGCACAAGATGGGGAACACGAGCGGAACATCTGGGTCTTCCGCTCCAAGAGGCCCGCAGGAGGCCCCAAGAGACCCCCAAGAGGCTCCAACAGAACCCCGAGGGCACCCCCCCCGCTTCTCGGGCAGCTCCTGGAGGAGCATCAGCAGGGCGCTCCAGTTCCACACAAGCTCAGTTGGATACGAGGCTTCGCGAATCCTTTCGAGCTCGAGGCTGCGGATCTGGAGCCGATTGGCTCCGCTACCAATGTCGGTAGCACACCAATGGAACCGCCAAAGTCCCCCCCCCCACACACACACAGTTGAGCATCATACATTGAAATCACATCAGATTGGAGTGGGATCGAAACTTTTCGCTCGTAATCCCACCAGCCCTCTGGGCGTCGGTGGTTTAGAGAGTTTCCTCTTCCACCCTTCCTTCTCCCCCTTCGGGGACGGGTTTATCCCTCCCCCTACCCCCTCCCCTGGGGGTCGCGAGGTGTCAGGGCGTCCAAAACGGCCTCGGCGAGGAAGCCAAAATCATTGGTTGTACTAGGGTGTTAGCCCCATTTTGGCCTCCTGAAGGGGGGACTGTAATTAGTACCCCCCCCTCCAGTGATCGATCTTACCCAAAATGGCCCAAAGATGGTCCCCAAGGCTCCCAAGGGTGCCCCAACAGGGCCCCAAGAGGTGGCCAGGAAGCCCCAAGAGGCCCCCAGGATGCCCCCAAGAGGCTTCCAAGACCCCCAAGAGGCCCCAAGAGACCCCCCAGAGGCACCCAAGATGCTCCAAGAGGCCTCGGCGAGAACGCCAAATCATTGATTGTACTGAAAGGTTTTAGCCACATGCTGGCCTCTTGGGGGGGGGCACTGATTAAGATTACTCCAAGAGCGCCTGGGAGAGCCCACGATGACCTCCAAGATGGCTCAAGATATCCCAAAATGTCCTGATCGAAGCAATTCCTCTGGGCATCGTTTCTGGATGAGCTGGTGGGGATTCGCGAACCGTCAACATTTTTTATCAGCTCAGGGGCCGCTACAATGGTTCGGGTCATAAAACAGCAGCGGCAACACGTACACATACACGCAAAAAGCGCGCGCACCACATAATCATTACATCATGCATCGCTAACTACATTGGTACTGATCTGTGCCATTAGCACTGGGGGCCTCCTGGAACCTTCCGGGGGACTCCTGGGTTCCTGAGAATGCTTCTGTGGGCCCTGGTTTGGGCCTCCCGGTGGCCTTTTGGGGCCTGTTGGAGGCATGTTGGCAGCCTCGGGGGTCATATTTGGGCGGAGGGCTCGAAATGGCAGCTCGGGTTCCCCCTCTTGGGGTCCTCTTGGGCCGTCTTCGGTGCCTCTTGGTCCGTCTTGGAGGCTCCTTGGGCCGTCTAGGGTTTTGGAAACCTCTTGGGTCGTCTTGGACAGTGCTGGAAATCAAGAAGGCACATCTGCTGAACATGTATGTACGCTCCGAAAGGAGTGGGGCGATTTTTGTTTTTCGGGGCCCTCGTGGGGGTCTTCTTGGAGCGGTCTCGAAGCTTCGTGGACGCCCCTTGGGCCGTTTGAACAGCATCTTGGGTCGTCTGAGATCCCTGGAGGGCGTCTTGGGGGTGACTTGGGGCCGTCTCTGGCCGCCGTTGCGGCTGCCTGGTGGCTGTCAGAAGCGATTGTGGGCCCCATTGTTATCGCGATGTACAGTCAAACCGTATCATAAGGACGCGCGATAAGGATGCAAGGGCCTTGGGAGGCCATCTCGAAGCTTCTCGAGCAGGACGTGGCCAACGAAAGTAGACAAGGATGGACCGAGGAGGCAAGGATGCAAGGGTACCCTTGGGAAGGGAGCCCATCCTTACTACGCGGGTTGACTGTAGCAAGCAAAGCTTCTTGCGATAAATACCCGGAGGAGATCCACCAGGGGATGTTGCACGGGCCCGCTCGCGCATTGTGGGATCCTCTTCGGCACAATGGCAACGCACGGGGCTAAACACACGTCTCTCTTTGGATAGCCACATCACCATCACGGAATCACGGGCATGGTATGTCGGCCAGGCCACCCAAAAGTGAGCCCCCCCAAAAGTATTACACGGGCCCGTTCGAGCCCAGATTGCGGGTTCTTGGGTGCCTCGGGGTCTCGTGGGGGCTACTGTGGGCACGCTTTTGTGCCTCCAAGGGGCCTCCTGGGGGCTTTCAAGGAGCCTCTTGGGGCCTCTCGGGGGCCTGTTCGCGGCCTCGGGAGCCATTCTTTGAGCGGAAGGCTCGGAATAGCAGCTTGGGCTCCCCCTCTTGGACCGTCATCGGTGCTTCTTGGTCCGTCTTGGGGCCCTCCTGGGGCCCTCTTGGGCAATCTCGGGGCGATTTTGAAAACCTCTTGGGTCGTCTTGGACCGTGTTGAAATCAAGAAAGCACGTGTGCTGACAGTATAGCTTCTCGAAACATGTCGCGATTGTTGCTTTCGGGGCCCTCGTGGGGGCGCTCTTGGAGAGGTCTCGAAGGGACGCCTCTGGGCCGTTTGAACAGCATCTCGGGCCGTCGAAGACCCCTGGAGGGCGACGTGGGGGGGACTCGGAACCGTCTTGGGCCGCCGTTGCGGCTGTCTGGTGGCTCTCCGAAGCCCGTGTTAGGCCCCCCACAGGCGGGCCGAGCCCCCGGTCGCCCCATTTGACGTCGGGGTCGCGGCCCGGGCCCCCGGGGCCTGGTCCCCCGTTAGATGTATGATCGCTCCAACCGTGTGCAATCAAGGTGTATAGTCAGAAGTTACGATAAGGATGCAAGGGCCTTTTGGAAGGCCATGCCGACGCTGTTCGTACGGGGTTGGCCAACGAAAGTCGCCACAGATGGGTCGACGGAGCAAGGATGCAAGAGCAACCTTGGAAACAAGCTCATCACAACTATGCGTTTTGACTGTACTATCGCCGCAACGCTGAGAGCAGACGGAGCTTTGATGACGAACGGTTTCCGAAGACAGCCATCCGCGCAGGTCGCATTGAGCGTCAAACAACATCTTCTTCTTATGCGCCAACTTCAGACCTGGCTACCCAGGCAAATCCGCCGATCCGGAATGTGAGCTACAAGGAGCCTCAGCAAAAACTTCAACTCTGAGACTAAGCAAAAGCTTCAGCTCTGCTTGGGGGGGTGGTCGCCGGGGTGGCTCTGCCGGGGAAGGGGGGGAGGGGGCGGGGGGGCATCTTGCGTTTTTCTATATGATTTGCGCATCTGGACCCCTCCCGGGGAAGGGGGGGAGGGGGGGGGCGGTCCCCAATCTGGCGTTTTCTTCATGATTTGCGCATCCCCAAGGCGCAAGATGTTTCGGGGGGTCCCAGGGACCCCCCTCAGATCTAGCCGCTACCGCCCCCAGGACCCTCCCCTCGGAACCCTCCCCATTTCCCCCCCTGGACCGCTCCAGGCACCCCAGAAGAGAAGAAAGAGGACCGGAAGAATCGGGGAAGGAGGAGGCCACAGAGCCGCGAAGATCATTGAATCTGGAGCCCCCCGGATCGGCGGCACTCGCCGGAGGCCATTACAATATAGGGAGCGCTGGGGCCTGTCGTTTTCAGCGAGGTCCAAAGTATAGCACGTGAGCAGCTGCACGAAGGTAGCAACAAACAACACGTGATCACAACCACTGCGAGAATTCAAAGTAAAACTCCAGACGAGCAGCCCAGAACCGCAGAAAGCTCGAGGAATGGAACAACACAGCCGATCGTCGCATCTCATGGTTGAACCCGTCCAAGAAGTCGACCAGTCCTGCTCGCCTGGCTTCCCCGATGGCGGCTTCCCCGCGTAGTCCGGCACCGTGGCGTCCGCGACACGCTGCGGCGAGGGGGGAGTCAATCCAGACATCTGGCTCCTCACCTCATTCGCCGACCCTGTCGGCGTATGGAAAGCGCTGTTCTGTTTGACTCGACGTACTCGTCGTTGTAGTTGTCGTAATCGTCTTCGTCGTCGTCGTCGCCCTTGTCGTCGTCGCCGTCGCCGTCGCGTTTGACCACCCTTTCCCTGGGCCTGTCGCCGCTCCCCCCCCTGTCACTGGGCCCTCCTCCTCAAGCGAGCCAGCCAAAGCGAAACCAAAGCGAAATTGAACAACGTCGTAGTTGAGTCGAAGGTAAGCCCCTTCCCTTCGATCTATTCACCCCCAGGGGTGGGATGGTGGGGGGGGGCCTGGTGGGGGTCCTGTAGGGGGGTCCTGGAGGGGGGGGGGTCCCAGGGGGGTCCCGGGTCAGACTCCTGGGGGGTCCTGGGCCCAAAAAGGCCCGAAGACAGCCCAAGAGGCCTCCGAGACGATCCAAGAGGGCCCCGACTCGCCGAACAATCAGTCCAAGACGCCACAAAGAGCCTCCTCTCCTTCCTCTCTCCCCATCCTACTCAGAGTATGATGATGCACTTATAATATGATGATGCCGAATGGTGGCGATACGTATGATATGGTATGTTCTGATATGCTGTGTGATGTTATGGCATGCTATGTTACGTTATGCTTGATTATGGTATGTTATGCTATGCTGTGATGATGATGATGATGCTGATGATGATGATGATGATGATGGTGGTGGTGCTGGTGGTGATGATGATTATGCTGCTGATGCTGCTGCTGCTGATGATGATCATTCTGATGATGATGATGCTGCTGCTGCTGCTGCTGCTGATGATGATGATGATGATGATGATGGCGGAGCAAATTCTGAGGATGTCTCGATCGGTTTGCTGCTTTCAGCATTCCTAAGGGGCCGCCAGGGGTATCTCACGGCCGGCGGGGATGTCTCGAGCGGTTTGCCAGTTTGCATGCCCAACATCATCCGCTTTCGGAGCAGATTTGGAGGATGTCTCGAGCGAGGCGCTCATGTTCGCCCCCAAGGGTGGACACATTTTGAGGATGTCTCGAACGGTTTGCTTGTTTTGATGGCCAGACTCGTGGGCACAGGTTCTCCCCAGGATGCCCCAGGAGGCTCCAGCATGCTCCAGGAGGCCCCAGGAGGCCACAGGAGGTCCCAGGAGGCATCAGGAGGCCACAGGAGACGCAAGAGGCCACAGGATGTCCCAAGAGGCTCCAGGAGGCCCCAGGAAGCTCCAGGAGGCCTCAGGATGCTCCGGGAGGCCCCAGGAGGCCACAGGAAGCCCCAGGAGGCCACAAGGAACGCCAGGAGGCACCAGGAGGCCCCGGAAGGCGACAGGAGACCCCGAGAGGCCCCAGGAGCAGGAGGCCTCAGAAGGCCACAGGAAGGGCTCCAATCCCATGCTTGCGTATGCTCCTATAGATTGGGCCTCACCTGGAGCACGAATCCTTGATGTCATACGCATATTTCTATAGATTGTCCTTCTCCTGTATATCCAATCCTAGATGTTTTATATGTGTTCCTGTAGATTGGGCCTCCGCTGGGGCACGAGTCCTTGGTGTCTTACGTGTGTTCCTAAATATTACCCTTCTCATGTGGCTCCAATCCGCAATGTTTTATGTACGTCTGTTCCTATAGATTGGGCCTCTCCTGGGGCACGAATACTTCCCAAGAGGTCCCAGGAGGCTCCAGGAGGCCCCAGGAGACATCAGGAGGCCACAGGAAGACTTAGGAGTGCTCCAGGAGGCCTCAATAGGCCCCAAGCTCATGCGCAGAGACGCGCCCGTACTACTGAGACTCATTCACACTCCAATTCGGACAGGTCCATGCGAATAGATGTACAGATGGGGAGATCTACGCGGTGAATAATTACCTTTCGGTTTTTGAAAGATTCTGGCGTTCTCGCCTTTTCGGCTTCCCGACGTCCAAAGACGGCCCAAGATGCCACCAAGATCGGCACAGAAGGCCCCCAAGAGGTTTCCAAGATGGGCCCAAAACGACCCAAGAGGGCCTCAAGACGGCCCTAAAGGTCTCCCAGACGGCCCAGGAGGCCCCCAAAACGGCTCCAAGGAGCCATATGGGAGCCCAAACGAACATTTCGAACTCTCGGCCCCGAGAAGCTCCCAGGAGGCAACAAGAGGCCCCAAGAGGCCCCAAGAGGCCTCCAAGAGTCCCCCCTGGAAGCCCGAAGGGACCCTCAAGAGGCCCCCCAAAGGCCCCCAAAGATGTTCCAAAGATGCTGCAAAACTGTCCCCTGGAGGCCTGCGAGCGCGTTCCAAGGAGGCCCCACGCAGCATCCCTGAGGACTCTGCCCCACGTCAGCGTCGTCGTCGCCGCCGACGCTGCCGTCGTGGTCGTCGTCCCCCTTCAGGGTCGGCGGCACCGGCCGCAAGGCCTTCCCAAGAATGGATCGAGATCTCGGAAGTGCCTCGTGCTCTTTGAGCCGACCGGGAGGCTTCCCGTCGCCGCGGCTGGAGATGCGCTGGAATTCCGGTCGGAACGCGGTCCCTGGGCCGACCTTTTGAGCCCTCGGGCCCAGACACCCACCGACTCGAAAAAAGTGATCGCCCATCTTTCGCCACCTTGGGCCCGTGGACGCCAGTTGTTGGCCCCTGGGCAGTTGAGAGAACTCGGGATGGAAAGCAAGCCCTGGGGGAGGAGTCGGGAGGTCGGGGGGGCATCGCCATAACCGGTCAGCAGATGTCTGGGAACGTGCCCTCATCATGTTTCTTTTTCGTTCTTCCGCTGGCATTATTGCATGGGGTCGTGAGTCGGCACACTCGATGCTAGAACGGCAGGGGCACAAAGGCTGTGCCTAGTAGCCGTAGAGTTCAACAAACGCAGCAACAATAATACCTGCCTCAAGACAAGGTCGCTGCATCGGTTCGAAGGGGGGACGCGAGAAGCAGACCAAACGTGGTCGTGCAACGTATCCCCTCCTTCCTCCTCCTCCTCCTCCTCCTCCTCCTCCTCCTCCTCTTTTTTCTTCTCCTCGATGTTTGGCCCTCGGGGGGGCCTTCGCCGCATAGGCTGGACGCGGCTCGGGCGACGGACTGGCGTGGAGTTTGGGACGGGTTTGGGTAACAGTTTGGAGCGGATTTCTGATCGGAGTGGGGCGCCAATTATAGAATATCATCCAAGGTCCAAAGGTCTGGTGTAACTTCGGCGCAACTGATGGACAACGGCGTGCGGGTAGTCGCAAGGCGGCTGCGCGCGAATGACTCGATTCCCTCGTCGCGGGGGGTGTCGCTCTCAATCGCCCATTCTCGAATGCGTGACCACCTGGCCGGTAGCGGCACGCGAGGGCCGATCCCCTCTGTCCCCCCACGGCAAGAAAACGGCAACTGAAACGGCTGAAGCAATAGCAGCATCAAAAACGGCAGGGGAACGACGGGAGGGAAAGGGGGGGAAGGGGCACAATGCTGGCGCGAGGTCGAAGCAACGAGGGCGCACGGGCCTCCGCTCACCGTTGTGGCAGCGGGGCCACCAAGACAATCATTCCGAAGAGGGCGCGGCGCCTCTGCATAATTACTCACTGCGTGGAGATCGCCGTATGTGCATCTATTCGCATGGGCCATTCTGCCGTGAGCGTCTGGGCGCAATAGTTCTCGAATATAAGGGGGTTTGGGTATTGACAGGCTGGGGGTGAGTCTAACTGTGAACGCGTTGGAATGTGAATGAGTTCCCGTATGAATGCGTCTCCGTACGACGACTGAGCCTATGCGCGTGGGTCTGCTGAGCATGTCTAAGCGTCGGATTCGTGCATATGCGCGTCAGTGGCCTGAGCATGACTGAGCGCGACTGAATCGAACTGGCTGCGTGATCCATCCCTTCATGGTGAAGCAGAAGATAAGGGGTGCTCTTGCAAACGCCGTGCGAAACCCTTGCGCTTCGTCGGCTCGCCCAGAAAATCTCACGCAGTGGCTGGACCGTGATACAGCCAACCACGCCACGGAGAGGAGAAGCCCAACATATAGGAACGAACGTAAACACCTCGGGCTGGAGCCACAGGAGAGGGGCACTCTACAGGAGCACACAGCAGGCACCAAGGGTTCGCGCCCCAAGGAAGGGACAATATAAAAGGACATGTGGAATTCACCAAGGATTGTAGCCACAGGGGGTCACTCTGTAGGACCATGCGTAACACCCCAAGGGTTCGTGCCCCAGGAGATGCCCACTCTATGGGAATATAACAACAGCACTGAGGCTACATGAGAGGGGCACGCTATACGAAATGCGCAAAACATCAAAGATTCGCGCTCCAAGAGAAACTTAAATTCTTAATTCCTTACGTGCAAAACACCACGGGTTGGAGCCACGGGGGGGGGAGGCACTCTATAGGAGCATACGTACAACACATTGGAGTCGTGCCCAGGGGAGGCCCGACCTACAAGAACATACGTGAACCACGTGAAATTGGAGCCACTCCTGTGGTCTCCTGGGGCCTCCTGGGGCCTCCTGGTGCTTGCTGGTGCCATCTGGGGCCTCCTGGGGGCCTCCTTGGGCGTCTTGAAGCCTCCTGGGTCCTCCTGGAACCTCTTGGTGCCTCCTGGGGCTTCCTGGTGTCTCCTGTGACTTCTGGGTGTCTCCTGGGGCCTGCTGGAGCCTCCTGGAGGGGATTCGTGCCCCAAGAAGAACCCGGTCTGTAGGAACCTACGTAAAACACATCGGACTGGAACCACAAGAGAATGGCAATCGATAAGAACATGCGCAACCGCCAACGGTTCATGCCCCAAGGGAAGCCCGCTCCACAAGAACGCACGGAAAGACGCATGACTGGAACCACAGAGGAAACGCAATATGTATGAACATACGTAACACACCGAGGGTGCGTACCCAGGGGAAGCCTAATCCATAGGAGCAAGCGTAGAGCACATAGGGTTGGAACAACTCCTGTGGCCTCCTGGGGCTTCCTGTCGCTTCCTGGAGCATCTTGGTGCCTCCTGGGGCCTCCTGTGGCGTCCTGGGGCTCCCTGGAACCT